TATCCCCATAATTTGAATCGCTAGGGTTTACCTTGACCCCAAAACCCCAAAACCCCTTTATGGAAATTTTTCAAGAAATGTTTGCTATTGGAAAACTTTAAATAAAGATCAAAATATAAACTTTATCATCATTTATTGATCTTTCTAAGAACGTAATGAAGAATACCTCCGTTCTTGTAATATTAAAGCTCTGGATCAGTATCAATTCTGACTGTAGCTGAGAATTTCTTGCCAGTGTTAGTAACTACTTCAATGTCTGAGCCGACTTTAATGTTTCCACCATTCAAATTGATAGAGAAGGTCTCACTTCCATTGAGTCCGAGATTGTCTGCATTTTAACCTTTCTTGAATTAGAGTGGAAGGATTCCCATACCAACTAAGTTGCTTCTATGGATTCTCTCGTAGCTCTCAGCAATAACAGCTTTAACACCTTGAAGATAAGGTCCCTTGGCAGCCCAATCTCTTGATGAACCTGATCCATATTCGTTTCCAGCGAGGATGATTAAATCTTGTCCATCCTTCATATATTGCTCAGCTGCATCCCATACAGCAAGTTTTTAGCCAGATGGAATATGAACTGTCTGTGGACCAACTTTGTCCATCATTTTGTTGATGAGTCTGGTGTTGGCGAAAGTACCTCTGGCCATAATCTCGAAGTTACCTCTTCTAGCACCATATGTATTGAAATCTTCTGCTTGAACACCGTGACTCTTCAAGTATCTAGCAGCTGGAGAGTTGCCAGCAATTTTACCTGCTGGTGAAATATGATCAGTTGTAATTGAATCTCCCATATTCAACAAGCAGTAAGCATCATGGACATCCTTAATTGGGCTAGGTTCTTTTTCGGTAGTCTTAAAGAATGGTGGGTTTGCAATATAAGTTGAGTTACTATCCCATTCATAGAGAGTTCCTTGGCCAGCATCAAGCTCTTACCATCTCTTGCTTCCTTAGAGAATATCTTTATAGATCTTTTAGAACATTTCTGGTTGAATGACAGCGCCTGATACTCCTGTAACAACTGGTCTATCGGGCCAGATATCCTTCAGGAAAACATCCTTGCCCTATTTGTCTTAACCGATTGGTTCTTTCTCAAAATCAATATCAACTCTACCGGCAAGTGCATAAGCAACTACAAGGGGTGGACTGGCAAGATAATTAGCTCTAGTATTTGGATGAACTCTTCCCTCAAAATTTCTATTTCCTGAGAGAACTGCAGCAGCAACCAAATCTTTCTCAACAATAGCATCTTGAATTTCCTTAGGGATCTCTCCTGAGTTTCCAATACATGTCATGCAACCATATCCAGCTGTGGTAAAACCTAGTTAATCGAGGTATTATTAGACACCAGCAGCTTCAAAATATGCTGATACTACTCCTGAACCTGGTGACAATGAAGTCTTGATGTATGGCTTTACACTCAAACCTTTTTCTACTGCATTCTTTGCAAGTAGACCTGCAGCGAGCATAACATCTGGATTTGAAGTGTTAGTACAAGATGTAATGGCAGCGATAACAACTGAACCATGAGTAAGCTCGTATTCTTTGCCTTGGTACTAGACCTTTGCTTTAGTACTTGTGTGCTCTTGTGGAAGTCCATATCCCTTGAATCCAACTTTGTTCGTCAATGAAGTGGTAAAATCACTTCTCATATCAGAGAGATTCACTTTATCATGAGGTCTCTTAGGTCCAGCAAGTGATGGTTAAACTGATGATAAGTCAAGTTCAATAACATCTCCTGAGAATAAGGGGTCTTCTTGAGATCCATCATGCTTTACGAAAAGATTCTGCTCTCTTAAATATTTCTCAATTGTTGCAACTGATTGTCCATCTCTACCAGTTAATTTCAAATATTTTAGAGTTTATTCATCTACTGGGAAGTAGCCCATAGTAGCACCATACTCTGGAGACATATTACTAATGGTTGCTCTATCTGCAAGAGTAAGAGTCTTAACTCCAGGTCCGAAATATTCGACAAATTTACCGACGACTCCTCTTTTTCTAAGCATTTATGTGCAAGTTAAAACCAAATCAGTGGCAGTAACATGCTTTGGAAGTTGACCTGTCAATTTGAAACCAACGACTTATGGGAGAACCATACTAATTACTTCTCCAAGCATAACAGCTTCTGCTTCAATACCTCCGACTCCCCAACCGGCGACTCCAAGACCATTGATCATAGTAGTATGAGAGTCAGTACCAACAACTGAATCAGGATAAAGTAGGCCATCTTGATTGAAAACAACTCTAGCGAGATATTCAAGATTTACTTGATGGACAATACCTGAGCCTGGTGGAACAATTTTGAAGTTGTTGAATGCTTTTGATCCCCATTTTAAGAATTAGAATCTTTCTCTGTTTCTCTCGAATTCAAGAGCCTCATTTCTATCTTTAGCATCCTTGGTTCCAGCAAAATCAACTTGGACGGAGTGATCGATAACCAAGTCAACTGGACATAGTGGATTAATCTTTGATGGATCGCCACCAAGTCTCTTAATTGCGTCTCTCATGGCAGCCAAATCGACAACAGCTGGTACTCCACTATATGCAAATAAATTTAAGAACTAATCAATATAATATAAAATAATAAGTATCCGAGTTGACATACGTAAAATCTTGAAGAAGAACTCTAGCAGGTTTGAAGGGAATTTCAACATCTTTTTGAGAAGTGTTAACCCAGTCAAGGATTCTTTCAACATCAGCTTGCTTAACGTTGAATTCATCACAGTTTCTAACGGCTGATTCGAGCAATACTCTAACAGAGTATGGTAACCTCTCTAAATAAAAGTTAGATCAGATAATGGTAATTTGATGCTAGAACTTACAAATACGTTGATCTTGCAAAGCTGGTAAGTTATAGAAAGAATACTTTTGATTTCCTACAGTTAGATTTGATAGCACGCTAGCATATGGATTTTTCTAGGGGCCAGTTGAGAATGATCTCTGGTGGGTTTTGTTTAAAAGAGTTTTATTTCCTTGAGCTGAAGTCTTTTTAGCGAAGAATCTTTTCATCCTATTTTATAGCAATTAATTTTAATAAAAATCACTAACGATGCATTAAAACCTTTTTTGGGCTACGTTTGTGACTATATTAAATTTATTTAATTTCAATACTGAACATACTAACAATTCCCGTAGATATTTAACCAGGGGTTTTGGGGTTTTGGGGTTTTGGGG